TTCATATATTCCAATTTTCTTTAGACCTGTCCATTTTGTGTTACAACAAACACTTTGAAAAGACCAAATCCATGAAATAATATATGGAAATAAGTAAAAAACAAACCTCAATTAGTCTTGTGGAAAGTGTCATCGACACATATGAGACTAGATATGGGTTCTACAAAAACTCAAACTAACCCTAAACAAGGTCAACAGTCTTGGTGTAAGTAAAGCAAATCTGTTACTTCATGATTGGACATAATGATCCATTATATTAATATGCACAAAGAAATCATGTTTAAGTAATCCTTTGCAATGCTAGCACAAATTTATTCCTTGGGAAGTGCCTTGCTTAACTTATTCTACTGCTATGAATGTTTACTAACATGATCGAAACATTTGTCAGTATATTGTCATAGCTACGCAAATCAATAACTCATTAACAGTCTGTAGAGTGTGGCTGATCAACAAGACATCAAAGTGGGACTGTGCCACTTCACTACAGGGAAGGAAGGTTGAATCTCTGGACTAGTTCACTCATATCCTGGGGGAGCAGGGAGTCATCACAGACTGGTAGATAGAGGGAGTGGAATACACTCATATCGCATGTGAGGAAGATAAACATAATATACACATCATATATCTCAATAAACAACCCAAATTAATTTCGGAACAAATTTAACAACTTTCCCACTGAGGGTACTGCAATAAAAGTACAGAAAAACAAACAAGTCTGTTTCTAAGCAACAGTAGCCTCCTCAGACCAGCCCAGTCTATTATTACTACATGACTACAATTTTATGAAAAATTCAAAACTAATTTTAACAAGAAATAACAAGAATAAATTTTCTGTTACAAAATCGAAAATTTTTGGTTCACAGTACAATTAATTTAACATAATTAAATTCTAATTGAATAATTCATATAGAAACGAACTGTGATGGCTTTTAGAATTAATTCAGTAATATGTAATAAATTGGAATATAAGATGTGTCGCTAAAAATTCAAAGCGCTGACAGTACTTTATCAATGAGAAGTATGGTGCCATCTTGTAGAAGCAAAAACAATGGTATAAGGTAAGTTATCAGTGGTGGTTTCCCATGCTGTAACATCTTGCCCACTGGGCAGCACTGGGATGGTCAAGGACTGCTGTATGTTGGGTGAAGCAGGCTCGTATTATGGCACTATAGTTATCTGGTGCCAGCATAGTCCTGTACTAGTATTGGCTGATAACAACTTTAGGACAGAAACATTTATCACACTAAAACAATAGAAAACCCCTACAAAGTGTCACTTGATAGACTATGTATAGAGAATTCTATCACCGTTACCTCCAATGTTGAACAACCTCTCGTTTTGTGTTGTGTTCAAGGGAAACCTACTTTACATGTAAACAACATTAGTTTTCTTGCATTCTTTATCACCATTTGTTTACCTTTAATAATCAAATGTGTTATTACATATGGATAAAGAAGAAACTAGTATTCATTGACTACTATTAAGATACCATCATGCTTCATATCACCAAACGCACTGTTATTCCAATGAGAGCGCCGTCATTTTCTTTGAGTTTATATTTGCATTGTTTAATCATCTCCATTCAATATTTACAAGAATGCAATTACAAACTGGTGGAAACCAGTTGCATATTCCTGGTTGCCATGGCTACCAATCTGCAAGGGCACAGGAGAGAGAATTCCCAAAACGAGAGGCTGTTCAATTGAGACTGTGACTGATGTTCATACAAAAGAACACAAAATGTCTCCTACATAAGTAGCAGAATATAGGCACGTATCACACGTCTCAGACTCAAGGCAGAATAGCAGTCATCTCCAAAACTCTCTAATCATTTAGGGACAGTAACAGGTTCCCATTTCACACCATATGTAACAAGTGACCTGACTTCTAGAAAAGCTAAGTCCATGTGGTGTTCTTGATCAGAAATGACAGAGAACTTCTAAAAAACCTAACCTTGAAAGCGTAAAGATAAATAACAATATTATATCTTGAAAAGTAAAGGCTCTGCAAATATTGCCTTAACAGAGGAAGTATAGGAGAAGGAGCAGAGGCACACTGTGCATCTATTTGAGAGGAAATATCAAAAATGCTCAGAGACATTTGTCTTATTCAAATAGAATAAAATAAAATTGATTCCTGTGTTCCAATTCCCAATTCATGCTCAAACAATAAAAATGCATTACGTCCAGAACTAAGACTTAGGGGAATGGACAATATGAGTTAGCTCACATAGCGACTTCGCAGGAAATCTTACACAGCTATATCAATTCTTTCATCAGTATTTAAAAGCCATTATGGTGTGAAATAATAAAAAGGAATAAATTAAGTTAATTCAGATGTTGTAACAGACTTTATGAAATCCTTATTCCAGTTTATTCTAAATTCTGAGAATTTCAGTTCCCAAAAATATTCTCTGAGCATTTTCTACGTGAAATGAAACAATTCTAAGTGAAATCTCCCTTCTTCTAATAACGGTCACATCAAGCAGAGAAGGTCTGCTACTATATCTCCAGATAAATTTGTAAAAACTTAACTTGTACATACATACTACATGGGAACATGAAGATATTACACCGTCATTCTTCAAGCAATGCTAAGTGAGTCTCAACGTAACAGTTCATCACTCAGTCCTTGTAAACAGTGGAAAAATAGGAGACACGAACCACCTCTGACAGGGCTGAATTCTCGTCTGTTGCCCGAATAGCTCTTGTTGGGACAATCTCATTCAAATCAGATCTTGGTTCTCTCTACTGTTACACAAACACCTAAGGTCATCCCGCTACAGGTCACGCCAGAACGACCTTTCATCTGACCAATCATAGCTTTGCATATGATATTGCGAAACTGGAAGTCTGGATGTGTTTTCTAATCACGCGACCATGAAAAGGTTAACATGAGGCTTTCAGAACCCCAGTCTTTACAACTGATTCTTAATGCAAGACATCATCTCTAATGCTTCAATATGACTTACATACGAAACAGAAGAGGCTTCCCAAAGCCGCTGGGAACAACTGCCTTATAAATTAGACATTCAGAAATCGATCAGACATTCCAGAATTTACTCTTTAGTTTTCATATTTTGAATCAAGAACTTTGTCCAAAACAGTTTCAAAGCACAGTGTACAATGGGGGTTACCATTTTGTAACTAGTTCCATAAAGCTCAAGAAAGCAGCATTCAGACTACATGTGGACTACCTGTTTAACATTTCATTTGCAAAAGGTTGTTCTGACATGACCTGAAGTGGGACGTCCCGAGATCTTTGGCATAGCAGTAGGAGGCTGAAGATTTGAATTTACTGAGATTCTTACATTGATAAAGAGGGATTCACAAAACAATGAAAATGAATGGATGTGCCTGTATGTTCATACGAAATAACAAAGTGTTTGAAATAGAAAGTAAAGATTTGATATTTTTCTCTTCTACTGTTCACAAGTACACGTACTCATTCACAGTGGGAACCAATCATCAACACTTGCACGAAGTAACCTTCAATTACTTGTCATGTTACAGCTGAAAGATATTGCGAAAAATATCTGAAGGCTTTATTGGTGTTTGTTCATGCATTAACTCACAAAATGGAATTATAATGTTTCATATGTTTGTATGTCCATGGAACCATGATCAAGCATTCCTAGTCTGTTTCCCACACCCTGGAGCATAAATAAAAATGATTTGGCAAGTAAAGATTGCCTCTGTTCCTGAAATTAAGCATGGCACTATTTGGATTCTATTTGGTTCTTCGTAGATATATTCTTGAAGCTAACTTTAGTTCTGGGACTAAATTGTATTCCCATGCCCATAAAAAGATTTTATCCAGTTCACTATCATATGATCCAGGCACAAATATTACTTACACAATATTTTCTTCTCCAGCATACAATTGTTGACATTCTTAAAGTATGCGTTTCATGATAATAAAACAAGCAGCCTTTTAATCACAATAGAACAAACTTTATGGATAACAACTTCTTTTTATTAATGAGTGCAACGTTTCGATACAGATTCTTGTACCGTTGTCAAGCATAACTTGCTTGACAACGGTACAAGAATCTGTATCGAAACGTTGCACTCACGAATAAAAAGAAGTTGTTATCCATAAAGTTTGTTCTATATTGTACTTCCCAACTTCTAAAATGCCACTCAAAGAAGTTAGCCTTTTAATCCATACGAAATATATAGTAACAATATCATCAACCAGTAAAAACTGAACATATAATTTACTGCTGAGCTATTGAAATGTAACTGCCCATATGCCGATATCAACGGTAATAGTGCATTAGAAAACTGACCTGTATGTTGTAAAAGCTTTATCTTCAGCATAAAAACCAATGTTCAGATTTTAAGTGCAATTTGTGTCCTCGTCATACTAACCTGATTTAAGTGTAAAAATATTAAAATTTATCACATCCTCAGAATTAAAAATTACTCTTAAAACAATGCAGGCATCATCCAGTTCTCATGGCAAGGAATCCCTCACAGTGTCCCTGAACTATTCCGGCACCTACAGACAGATAGCGCCGAGGCCAATATGGGTACTACTGGCCCATCATGAATACAAGGTCATGTGACATGCTACTTGTTGCCGGCGAGGTGAGCACACAGGTCTTTAGTGCAACCAGAAGGTGATGAAGCATAACCGCATGGATGCCGACGGTGACAGGTCTTACAGGCCTTGTTTGACGATCGCCTCACCAGAACTTGTTCCGGACTGGCTACACGGGAACGTTTTCCTGTTTGGCTATATTGTACTGGCTACAGAAACCTTGGACTGTCTACACAAGTATCTTATAAACTTGTGAAACACTGAACACAGCACCACCTACAGACAGCAGCCAAGGGGGATAACTCTATCTTTGTGCAGGTGGGAGAGGGCAAGAAATCTGCATAAATAAGCTGATATCACTGACATGCACATTCATGTAGAATACAGACAGTAGAGCTGTTACCTCTACTGGGAGGGTGTAAGGTGAAGGTCGAAGACATGAAGAGAGTTTAATCTGGTCAAAATGTGCTTTGAAATTCTTAGAGGGTAGCAGTTGCATTTAATATCATCCGTCAGGGATTTTTCAGTCAAATTGGCTTACATTAGCTAGATGTTTCCAGGTAATCATTACCAATGGCAACAGGTTTTTTAAGCAAAAGCCATTTTGGAAATGTGCCAAAGTATTCTTTTGTATGGCACATTGCAGGCTCTCTACGTACGGCTAGAAATTAAGTACGGCTGGAATGTTGAAATTGGAGAAATATGTACAGATCTGGTAGGAAATGAGGTGACACTATCACCAAAATTCATATGTATATATATACATATATATATCATTCATGAGTGAACCCAAGCTGCTGAATGCTACAAGACAATATACATAGCTCGGTGAAGTGGAGTGTCGCATGCAGTGGCTCAAGTTATCCCCCCTTGACTGGCATCGCTGCATACTACTACCTGCCAGACAGCTATCACCACTGGCTATGACTGTTCTAGGTATAGCATGCATTCTTGTAGAAATATCATAGAGTAGATGGCTCTAATTCGACCCTGCACAGTACGTGATGTCAGACAACATTGTCTACATGATGTACATATGTATAGCTAGGAGATCTGAAGGAGTGAGATAACAATGCATAGAGTCGTGCCTAGGGAGGCAGAGGACATTGGACACATGACGCATCCACTAGCTCCGCTACATACTATATTCCTGACCAATGATTCAATGTAACACACATTACCACCGTCAAGAAATAAACTCACTAGTCTATGTGTCTGCACTTTTCAAGAGGTTCATAAACTGTAATTAAACTGTTAATATGTAAAAATATGTAAAACAATAACAACGGTTTTCACAGTATACACATACACATGAATCGGAAAGAGCAAAACCAAGAGTCTCAATTGGCCAACAATGAAGGGAATTGAGCTACAGAATAATTTGGCTCACGTTAGTGTCCAACCTTAAGATATATAACCTAGAAATAAATGTTGCCATGACACCTGTATGAAACAGTGGAGAGCTAGCCTGGGGAATAACCCAGACTGGAAGTTCACACAGGTATATTATCACATTACCACCAGGATCATGCTGTCAATCTTTCCGCTTGTCTTTCTGTCCAGCCAGAGGTACTTGTGTCTGTCCACTGGCTATGCTTCAATCCGGGTGATTGCAGGGAATGGTATGGTATAAAGGCAGGACCGTTTTCACATCACACACCAAATAGCCCCATTATATACGGAACCGTATCCACACTCCTTGGGTATATACGTAACACACACTACTCCATAGGTGTTATTCAGATATATATATCCTGCCCTGTTTCACACATAACCATTCCAATTGGAAGAGACATTTTCACCCCACAACTGTATAACAGTGAAAATTTCCAGTGCGGAACCAAGGCTTGAAATCATATCAGCCTTGGATCATAATATCCTGTGCATATAGCTTGTCCCCCTGAGACTTGGTCAAGAAAATGAGAAAATTGCATAAAATCTGACTGATCATTGTTTAGCAGTCGACCCTCTGTATGCAGAGGGAGGAGCCCTCTGATTGGTTGACAGGGACACAGAAACCCACTGATTTGTTGGTTGGGACACAGAAACCCTCTGATTGGTTGTTGGGACATAGATCACCTCTGATTGGGTAATAGGGACACTGCAACCCCTCTGATTGGTTAATAGGGACACAGGAAACCCTCCTTTGGTTGTAACTGGTACACAACAACCCCTTTGTGGCTGTTGTCCTACTGGTTATAATCATCCATCGTAACACATAGCTTTGAAAACTGCCCACTGGTTGGATGTTGAGTCGATGCCTGAACTGTGATTGGTTGTTGTTTAATAGGCCATCTGATTGGTTGTTGCTGACTGGCTTGCCTCCCACTTGGTTGTTGTTGTTGACTGGCTGGCGTCCTGATTGGTGTTGCTGATGATCTGGCCATGTGATTGGTTGAGGGATGGGTGCCTGGAGATGTTCCTTGCCAATCTTTTGGTCATCTTGTCCATAATACTGTAAAAGAGATTAAGAGATGTCACCAACTGAATGCCATTATAAACAAATATCTAACACAATTTTTTTCAGAAGTCTTCCAGTTCTGGGACGCTATCCTCAAAACGTTTGTAGCACTATGCCATTCGTAAGCCAATGATTAAAGTATAGAGATACGATAGGTCGTAACGTTACGAACGCCTCCTTGAGGATCGGGACCCAGACTTACAACTGCTGGAATGTGAAATCCTGTTCACCTGAACTGTACTGATGTCACCTAAACTGTCCAGAGTAACAAATCTTTCCATTGATGAGTCAGAGTAATGTACCTTTGTACAAGTTGACAACAATAACAGATGGCTCACATACTGGTTGAATGTATTGCGTGTGCAACAGAACTAACATTGGTATGACAAGTTGAGCAATAAGACTGTCACGATTCACTCACATATTCGGTGAATCGAGACATATCCATTCATGAATTTAATTTGTTATTCACGATCACTTGAATAGAAAATTCCTGAATTTGTTAAAAGGTGTGTTTTTACTTGTATTGGGTATTATTTATCAAAATAAGATATGCAAAATGGAATACATCCTAGCCACACCATATGATTTCAAATCTCTTATATGTATGTATTTTGATGGTAATAGGGTCTCTGGACATTGTCATGATAAATTCATGCTGTCAACATGGTCTGGACTAACAACTAGTCTCTGAGATGAACATATTTTACAGAAAAAAAGCTCATAGTAAAAAAAAAAAAATATAATGAAAAGGAGCCCTGAGACTTTCTTCACTTCCTGAAGCTGTGGAAATCTAAATTTGCCACATTTTCTAGACTTGCGTGAGCTTTCTTGGATATATTTGCTTCAGGGTCTGTATGACAGACTAAACATGGTCCAAACATGTCTGATAATTATTTTGTTATTGTTTCACTGAAGTTATTGAATAACACATCAACTGCTGACTTGTTATTGTACCGGTATTCCTTATCCAATGTTTGAATTCAATATCCAATATTTGTGATACGGATCATATCAGCCTCTAAGTTGATTCGTTGCAGCCCTCGGGATCATTCCAAATTATTTAAATATTTTGACCTTGTGACATACACAATGGCCTTTAACTTCATACATGTAGTTTCATGACTATGGAGGCAACAGCACCTCAGTAACTTACAATGATACTACCATGTCTTACAATGGTGACCTTGACATGTGGCTGACCTTGACCAAAACCTTCAGTACACTTATGACATCAATGTTGGCAAATATATCATCCTCAAGTGCCTGCCTATGGAAGTATGCTTTGTAAAACAATGCTCTCAGTCACAATATGGTGTCTCCAGTGTATCTTATAGTACAATTCCAGGGTGGTTGGCCTGGACTCGATTCCCAACATAGGTACATTGTGTTAGCCCATTTCTGGTGTTGTGATATTGATAGAACATTGCTAAAGGCGCTGTAAAACCAAACTTACTCACTCACAATATGGTCACTGATTCAAATAATATTCCGATGTTATTACCAATGGTGGAGCGTAAACCATATGTTGATAGCAATTTCAGGTCTTTCTTAAAAAAGGTTATTAATTCATGGTGTCGATAAAAACATTATGTGAGAACAGGTACACACAGATGAGTCATGTATTTCACATAAATCACAGAAAATTATGGCTCAGGAAAACCAAAAAAAGTACAATATGACATTGTCTGACCTACACAACTTCAATTGATTTCTCCTTCTAATGGCACAATCTGACATATACGTTCTGTCATTGAAACGTGTTTTCAATGGAAAGCGGCCTAGCTTCAATATTTGACCTATAACAGCTGGCAATGCATTAGCAGCATACCCTGCAGTAATCAATACCCACAGTTCTTGATGCATTTTCAGATATATAACGTCTCTTCTGAACAACATAATCAACAGCAAAATCATGTGTACTCTTAACAAGGTAGTAAGTGAGAGTTTGGTTTTAACGCTTTTTAGCAATATTCCAGCAATATTACGGCGGGGGACACCAGAAATGGGCTTCACACATCGTACCCATGTGAGGAATCGAACCCGGGTCTATGGCGTGACGAGCGAACGCTTTAACCACTAGGCTACCCACTACCCTAACATGTTAGTGAGTTGATTTCAGTTGCATAAAGGTGTGTCTGCTTCATGTGAGCCTAGAGTGATGCAACAAACACACACATACTACATGGTGAGAAAGGTTCACAAAATTCTGAGAATTTGGGATTTTGCTCTCAGATATTTTCAGCTGATCCTGACATGGCAAAGGGAAATAACTCTATAAATCAGGAAATCAAACTGTGTCCAAACTTTTGGCAGTTCATTATTATTTAGGTTTTTCTTCTATGGAGTTACTTCAAGTTTTGGTGTACTGACCTACACCCTGTATAATAAAGCAGTCTTAGCGCAATGACTACTGTAAGCCTCTGTTGAAGTAGGGAAGTTACTATCACCTCAGCACCATGATCCTTTGCAGAACAGGGCCTAGGTCACACAAACCGCGGACAGATGAACTCAGAATCACAAAATCCCATTTCATTTCCATCCAACCCACAAAACTGTCTGTGCCCAAATCTTTTTCTTCCACCAGCCGAAACATGCTTTAGGCATCATTTAAACAAGATTTTACACATTACCATTCACACTTTTGTCAACTAAATTTACAAGAGTGAAAAATACTACACTAGCCTGGGTCCTCTGGCAAGAGCTTGAATGTACTTTTACTGACAAAATACAATTCATCTAAAGGACCTAATTGTGTTCGGCCATTTTCCCGCAGCAAACACTGCTGACGATGCATAAATGAACACATCTTGTGTGCGATGTATGAAGTGATCACTCACAGGATTACAGGCTGCGCTACAGGCTAGAATATATAATTACATTACCTATCAGCAAGAGACGGGACTGTATAATCATATTATCCATCACCCAATACTATCTAGAAGCGTCAGCCAGTGCCAGTCTCTGGGGTAGGTCCATTGAGTAGAGGTGCATTTAGAGGGGAGAGGAGAGAGTTTCAGATGATGTAAGTGAGCTGGGTTTAAGGATGCTTTGAAGAATATTTCAGTTAAATCATGAAATGCAAACGTAACAATTATTATTCCAATGACTGACTGACTGAGTTTGGTTTTTACGCCACTCTTAGCAATATTTCAGCAATATCACGACGGGGGGACACCAGAATTGGGCTTCACACATTGTGCCTATGTGGGGATGCGAATCGCTTTGACCACTCTTGGCGTGATGCCACTCTTAGCGGACGCTTGAACCACCAGGTTACCCCACCGCCCCTATTATTCCGGTAATACAACATGCACATGTATGGTGTGGACAAAATATTTATTTATAATATATATGTTGGTGTGCATAACCAGCACACCCTGACAAATCTGAGATAAAATGCCTCCTTAAATCACTGTGAAGCAGGTTTGAGACCTTGTGGTCCACCCATTGCAGCAATTTCTCTATGGTTCATACCAATTGAAAGACCTTGTCAAGGGTTTAATGTTAAAAATTTACACAAATATGCATTGTGTTTACACATCCTGCTCAAGATGTCAATCACTAGATTGTCTTGTCCAAACTTAAAATGAAGATATAAGTATTTAGCACTCAAAGATATAAGTATTTAGTACTCAAACAAAAAGTGTCAGTATTGCATTTTCATAATGAGTAATGATGTTCCTGACCTCTCCCACTCTCCCCAAAACGCATTGATTCAGCAAACACATATTTGTAGGTGCAATGCTAACGAGTGATGAAGTTCAATGGGCTTTAAAAAAAACAGGTAAAGTTCCAGTGAATGGCTTCCGTTCTGAAAGTTCTATGGCTTGCAAGCCATAACCAGATGAGACAAGGGAGAAGAACTTCAGAAAGTTTCTTAGTGTTATAACATTAAGGGAATATATCCAAACGAGTAAGTTACATTGTGTTCAATACAAGCACAGGGTTCAAGTAATTACATGCGCCATACCTGGTTAAGTAATAAAACATTGCTGGTGTTTCATAATGTATCAACAAGAGCCAGCGGAACACGCATGCCTTGAGACGCATTAGCTTAATGTACTGAGCACTCTGCTGGCCATGTGCATGCCACAGCATAGACACCCAACTCTAAACCATCACATGCTCAACTCCAAACCATCACATACTTCATGAGGCCTCTTCTACCATATTTCTAAAAGAATAGTTTCTATCTACAGCATTTCAGTTAATTTTTATGATATTTGATTAGGATGTTGAGGTAGCCTAGTGGTTAAAGTGTTAGCTCATCAAACTGGGTTTGATTCTTCTATCTATAGCATTTCAGTACATTTTTATGATATTCAATTAGGGATGGTGGGGTAGTCTAGCGGTTAAAGTGTTAGCTCATCAAACTGGGTTCGATTCCCACATGGGTAAAATGTGTGAAGCCGTTTCTAGTATTCCCCGCCATAATATTAATGGAATATTGATAAATCAGCATAACACTTCAAAAACTGACGGATTTGTTAAACACAACTAATAATGATCAGCAGTCTAACATTTCAAGGTTCTAAAACTATTATGTCTTTTAGTCTCTCCTCTGAACATCAAATTGGATTGGGCACATTTAATACATATTGTTGAAACTATTAAATATGAAACTAAGTCTTTGAAATGCGAATATACATCTTCTCAAGATATAAACCCGTTGTTCCTCAAGTTTCTATCACCCGTCTTCCATAACCGCCTGATATAATCAATGTATGGGTAATTACTAGTTACTGATAGATTGTCTGGTGTGTAACCAGAGCCGTTATGCTTGTGTTTGGGCAATCAATTAGACTAGCACAGTGAAATAAACCAACAATGTGGTAAATACTTGCCCAGCCTGCATTGGTTAAATGGCAGCTCGCTATTTCTGTCTGCCAATGTATTGATACAACGAGAACTGTAGCATCAACGTGCTCTATACCACCATTGCAACCATAATCAAATTTGGACTGACTGTACATGATAAATTGGCAATCTGT